CGGGTTGTCACGCTGAGCAGGCTGCGCGGGCCCCTCTTGGGCACTCGGACGAGGAAACCGAAGCCCAAGACAATTGAAGGACCCTTGCGAGGACCTTCGCTCAAAGCAGCGTGCGGAGTGGGGCGTCCACGGGGGCGCCCTCCCTCCTCCGCCCTGGCCCCGGGCTCCCTGAAGGCGCCCTCCGCCCGCTGGGTGGCCCACGGGAGGAAGGGACGCACGCGGCCCCTGGAGGAGCTGGGCCAGGGGATATGTGACGGTGGCCCTGGTGCCCGGCATCCTGTCTCCCCACGCCCACGGCCGGAGGCGGGGGGCGGGGGGGGGAAGCGATGTGCCAGTCCCTCTCTGACTCATGGTCCTCGCTACTGCTGTCTTTCCATGATGGCTATTCTCCTTAAGCACAGGTCACACCTGGTGGCAGCGTAAGGTGCCAACCTGCCGAGGCCGCTGAGTTCCTATGAACGGGCTGTGCCCTCCACTTCCCTGGTCTGCGTGAGGATGTAACACTGAGCTTGAGGAGTGCACACCAGTGTGTGTGCTAGCATAAGTGTGTCCATGCACACATGGGAACAGCAGGCCTCTGACCCAGGCAAGCCGCCTCCCCACATTTCAAGATGCAATGTAATCACAGCACCAGGCTCAGAAAATAAGCTCCAGCATGACACCTAGCAAGCAGTCTCCCTGCCAGGGAATTTAATGCCACCTGAGTGGGGGGCAGTAAAGTAAAAGGAAAGAGCCAGTGGAAGGGTGTCAGTGTTGTCTTTACTGATTACATTACTGGGGAAGGAAGAGTGGGCCTCCCTGGAAACATTGAGCCTGCTAGCCCCTCACCCCTGGGGCAAAGGCAGCAGGCGGGGTCTCCACAACCCAAGGGGCACCATTCAGGCTTGCTGCCTGGCACAGTTTCCCGTACATTTCTTGCCAAATCTCATCTTTGAAGCCTATCCTCCATCGTTTATTCATTCCACTAATCTTTATTCAATGTCAGACAACATGTTAGGCCCTGGGGATGCCATACAATTGGATTTGGTTGCTAATGACAGAAAACCCCAAGTAACTGTGGCTTAAACAAGATCAGTGTTTGTTTAGAATTCAAATCCAGAGAAGGCAGCCTCAATCTTCAAGACTCTGGGGGCCTTCACTTTTCTTCAACAATCTCCAGACAGGCCTTTCTCATGGTGGGATATGACTATTGAGGCTCCAGACAGGATGTCTGCTTTCTAGTCAACAGGGAGAAGGAGACCATGGAGAGGCATGCAGGCATACTCTCCACAGCCTTCTAAGGATGCTGCCTGTGTTTTGCACACGCCATATCTGCTTTCACCCCTTGGCCAGAACTAGGTCCCTGGGTACTTGTGGCTGCAGGGAAGCTGGGAGATAACTGCATCCTGGGCCCCTGAGCCCAGTTAACATTCGGACTCTGGTACCCAGTAAGAAGAGGAGGATGGGGTTGGCCTAGAACCTCTAGCTGCATCCAGACAGCTCTGTTCACTACTATCAGGCCAGAGTTGACAGTCACACATGGACTGCAACCTAGCTGAGGCCACACAGGACAGAACCAGGGGATGGGTTACACCAGAGGGCTGGAGGCCAGGGAAGAGACATGCAAGATCAGCACTGAGCCCCTGGTGACATCATCCCACACCCAACCAAGACAGCCCACAGCACACTGCCTTCCCTCCATGGGCTCAGATTGTGATGGCCTTGAAGCCACAGACCCGTGCAGCCACTGTGTCTGGGACATTGGGGAGGGATTTATGCAGCAGATGAGGGCACACAGTTTGGCTCTCCTGCATGTTCCTTACATGCACGCATTAGCCCCATCATCTAAGGGAGAGCTGGACCCCTTAGGGGCAATAAGTGTTCTGGACATGCATACTGGCACGAGGCTCCTTGCTGGTCAGCCAGGACCTTCAGGGATTGTGTGGTGGGTCCAGTGAGTTCATGGAGAGCAAAGGCACTACAGACTGTAGGAGCAAATGTGACGGTGGTGATGGCCACAACCCACAGTGACCACACTGCTACTCACCTATCACTCATCCCTCCCCTCAAAGCTCCTCTGTCATTCCAACCACTGGGCCACCCTGATGCAGGAAGGTGCACTGTAACTCCTCTCCTGGCTGGCCACCTGCCCCTGTGGCCTGGAACCTCCTGCTGACACTGAACCACAGGAGAGAGGAACCAGGCCCAACTGTCTTATCCCGGGGCAATGAGCTGCAAGAGACAAAGGTTGAGGTAAAAGGGACAGAGGTAAAGGCACTACCCTGAGCCAGCCCTTGGCCTCCATTATTTTAGTCAGCTGTTTCACTGCTATGACCAATGGACCTGATAAGAACAACTTAGAAGAGGAAAATTTTATTTGGAGCTCACAATTTCAGAGGTCTCAGTTCATAGGCAGCCATTGTCATTGCTCTGGGCTCAAATTGAGGCAGAACATCATAACAGAAGGGTGTGGAGGACGAAAGCAACTCAGGACATGGCAGGGTCAGGAAACAGGGTGGTGAAAAGTGTGCAGGGACGATGTCCACTCCCATAGCACACTCCAGTGATCTACCTCCTCCAGCCACTTCCCACCTGCCCACAGTTCCCACACAGTCAGTCCATTCAAACCAGGATGGAGGTTAGATTACAGCTCTCACAACCCAGTCATTTCACCTCTAAATACTCCTGCATTAACTAGAGCTTTGGGGGAGCATCTCATATTCAGACCATAACATTCTACCCACAAAACTCATGTCTATCTCCATTTAGTCCATCACCAAGAGTCCCATAGTCAGTTCCAGCATGGCTCAAAAGTCAAAGTCCAAAGTCTCTTTTGAGACCCAAGGCAAACTCTTGGCTGTGTGCCCCTGTAAAGACAAAAAGCTAGTTATATATACTCAATATACTCTGGCACAGAATAAGCAATCCCATTCCAAAGCGGAGGAATAGGGGCAGGGATGGGGCCAAACAAAGACCAAAATTCAGCAGGCAAACAGATCCCATTACCTCGAATACAGCGTCTAGGACGCATGGCCGCAGGATGTGCTCTCCAAAGGGACTGGGCAGCCCTGCCCCTTTGGCTTTGCCAGTTGCAGCCAGGGCCTTTCAAAGTCTGCTTTTGCAACCAACAGCTTTTTTCTGCAGATGGTCCACATTATTGGCATCTCTTAATTCCTGGGTCTCCATTCCCTCTTTGGCTTTGCCTTTGAAGCCAGATTTAAAGTTAGGTAGTCAGTGTAGTTAGGTAAATCGGGTCTAATACCGAGTGAAATCTAAAATGGAGGCCATGCTGGCAATGATTCCGGGAAACTCAAGGAATGTTAATGAAGTCCGAAAAGGCCCTAGGCCAAAGTCCACCTCAAAGAAATGTTAATGAACAGCCCCCAGCAAAAAGGTGCTGACTCAGTCCTTCCTGACCAGATTACTTCTTTGGCCCACCTGTGTCCCACCCCTCGGTCCTTCCCACCTACATTCCATTACTGAAAGAACTATAAAAAGGGGAGACAACATCCCTTCCATGGATTCCACCTCTTGGGTCCCCTTCTTCCTCCAGGAGAAGTCTTTTCTGCTGTCCTTTAATAAACTTCTAATTTCTACTCTGACCTTGCCTCGGCGTGCTTCTTTGGTGTTATTCTTCAACATTGGGGAAGCAAGAACTCGTCACCGGTCAACAGCGGTAACACCTTCACAGTTTCATGCATTGTCCTCTCAGGGGCTGCCCCTAACTCCAGCATCCTGCCTTCCTGCAGAACCACCACCACAGGGATGATGCCAAGGTCTGCCTCGGATTCTGCAGCACTTGGGCTCCCTGGAGTCGCAGATACAGCAGCCTCCGGGTGCCTGTGTGGGTCAGCATGGTGAAACAACTTGCTAGCCCTGCACCCCATGTGAGAAGGGTGTCCCCATGACCTCTTCTTCAAGCAAATTTTCCATTCTACATCTTTGAGCATGCAGTGGATGTGGTCTTGCAAGTTCCTGAGATGCCCTCAAGTCATCTTTCCTGTTGTCTCTGTGCAAAGCACTTAGTTGCCACAGTCTGGCTGGGCACAAATCACAAGCCACTCAAGCAGGAACAAACTTTATTTCTGAACTCCCGCGAACGCCACGCGCGAACGCCACGCACGCACGCACGCACGCAGCCTTCTCCCGTGACACACCACACACCAACTGGAAATCCCTCCTCCGGCACTTCCCCAACCAAGGAGAACTCCCCAGGAATCCCCACTAGAACTCCAAAGTAGCTGGCGCCTGAGGCAGACAGCAGGGGTCTAATATACAATTGAATACACAGCTTAACATAACCATCATCATCTCAATGGCTTGCTGGCCTCACCTCTCAACCACTCCCTTCTGGCAAAAATGCCATGTGTCATTCCCACTCGGCTATGGCTCTAAGCACTTAGTGACTCTTTAGGGACTGTAATCTCTTCAACAACCACCCCTTCCTCACCCCAACTTGATTTGCACTTTTCTAGTCAAACTGCAAGTTTTTAAAATCCCTTAGCTCTGTTTTCTGCTCCTATTTTTCACAGTAAACCTGGCTAAAGCCACTAGCAATATCCATGCCACTGACTGAATGTTGTGCTGCCTTGAAATTTCCTCTACCAATTAATTGGTCCATCAATTTTAAATTCAGTCTTATACCAAGTCTCAGGACATAGGCAAAATGTAGCCAAGTTCTTTATCAGAATGTAACATGAGTGACCTCTGGTCCAATTCCCATTAGACTCTCATTCCCCTCTGAAACCTCATGAGCATAGTCTTTACTATCTGCAGTCCTATCAGCAACGTGTTCCCACCAGATTCACCCATTAAGCTCTGCTCACAAATTCTAAAACTTTTCCAACTTGAATCTCCAAACATTTCCACGCTTTTCCAGCAAACCATTTCCAAAGGCTTCTGAACTACATGGTCATGTTAGTCACACAATGATCCCACTTCTCAGTATCAATTTCTGTTTCAGTCAACCCTTGAGTTGCTATGACAAAAATACTTCACAAGAACAACTTAGAGAAGGGAAAGTTTATTTGGGGTAACAGTTTCAGAGGTCTCAGTTCATAGATGGCAGATTCCATTGCTCTGGCCCCACGCACACCATGGGAGAAGGCCCAACAGAGGAAAGATGCTCAGCTCCTGTCAGGGTCAGGAGGAGAGATGGGGAGAGGTAAGGAGCTGCAAGGAAGACGCCCTCTTCTAGGGCACATCTCAGTTTTTGACTCCTCCAGCCACACCCCATCTGCCGACAGTCACCTCCGTCACATTCCTCGAGACTAACACCCAGGGTCACTCCAGGGGAACTGGGCTGCACGAAATAATCACACAAGAGACAGAGATTCCTTTTCCTTTGGGTCCTGTGACGGCTCCTCTGACCTTAGGGGTCTGCAGAGAGAGAGAGAGAGAGGGAGAGAGCGAGCGAGCTGAGCCCTTTTATTGAGGAGAAGCCATTCAAATGAGGCAAGGGGCCAGGTTTCAGGGGGTTGAGTCTAGCCTTGTGATGTCTGCTGTCAGCAGGTTGACTGACATCTAGGAAGGCCACACCCAAAGGCAGAGCAAGAGAAGGGGACACACAAAGGGAGTTTCCATGGAACATTCTATCCCAAACAGGGCAAAGGGGTAGGATTACAAAATAACAGGTGAGTGTAGCTCAAGCCCATGAGTGACACACCTACATCTGAAGACATGCCCTCAACTTCCTGATCTGGGACAACGCTCAAGTCACTACGAAATGTAGTGATCGGTCAGGGCCTCAGGCATGGGTCAATCAGAGTGGCTCCCCACATACCTCCAGGTCAGTCCCATTCAAACTATGCACTGATTAGCTTACAGCTCTCACACTCCAATCATTTCACATTCCTGCATTAATGCAGGAGCTTTTGGAGAACACCTTATATCCAAATCATAAAATCCATCTTCCTGAGCTCCAGGCATCCACTTACGGGCTCAGGAAGGAGGGGACTCTCCATCACAGAGGACCAATGAGTGGGAGCTGGAAGGTGAGGGGGGAGGAGAAGATGCAAATGGCAGGCAGTGCCACAGGGCTCAGGAGAGACAGCAGCTACCTTCTACATCTCTTGTGGGCAACCCAGGTCTGCAGGCAATGATGCACCTTATCCCTGGGTGGGGAGCAGAAATGGAGGGGAAGGCTGTTCTTGAGCTCTGGACTCCTTCAGGGAACCTGGTGAGTGCTCAGGGGGAGGGCTGAGTAGGGCAAGCCCTCTTTCTCACGGTCCTGGTGCAGGAGCGCCTGGTTCATGAAGGGCCGAGGACTAGCATCTTCTCACCAGGATTAATTTAGCCAGTGTCTCCAACCCCAGTTCTTCCAAGGTGCCCTGGAATCAGGGTGTATTATTCCTCTCTCTTTGGGAGAGATGGCTGCATCTCCCCCTTTCCTGCTCTTCCACTTCCTCCAGCTGAGCCACCAGCCAACCCTTGCAGGGCAAGAAGTGCCGTGACCCCTGCTCCCACAGTGTCCTGCTTAGTGACCTGCACATCAGACGTCTGCCCTGAACAGCCACTTCCTCACCTGTATGGGCAGACGGTGGAGCTGCCATCGTTATGGAGCTGACATGAGGTTCGAGTGCCAGAGAGACCTAAAGATCCCTTTGCACACGGCCGGGCCCACTGAGAGCCCTGGAACCATGTGAGCCACAATGGGTACCCCAGGGCGTATGTGTCATATCTTGAGTAGACTTCAAGCATCAATGCCAGTCACCAGAGCTAAAAACATGGGACAATGCCCTCAGGGTATCAAGGAGCAAGAGAGGACAGATGATCCAAAGGAATCACTTACTGGGCCACAAGTCTGTCGTTAGAAGGTTGTATGAGGAAATGCCATATTCTCTCCAAGAACTGGAGAAGTTTCCCAGAGAAGAGGCATTTGGACTGGGTGCTGAAGGATCAGTAGGAGTTTGCCAAGAGGAACAGTGTGGATCTACCCCAGCCCTCTCTGTTTCTTTCCCTTTCCACTCCCTCTAGGTGAGCACAATGCAGTCCTGCACAAGCAGAGTCTTTTTTTCCCCTCAGTGCTAGGGATTGAAGAGCTCTACCACTGAGCTCCACCCTAAGTCCCAGCCCCCGCCCCAGCAAACTCAGGGTCCAAGAGCTGACTTCACTGTCACAAGTCAACCCGTACCCACCTCAGGAATTGGAAGCACCCCTACCACTGCACACAGGGAAGTGGTAATGAGATGCTAATGAGTGAAGATAAAAATCAGAGAGAGAAGCATTTTGCAAAATCACAACAGTTTGTACTTCCAGGGGCTTCCTCCCCAGCAAGCACACAGCCCAGCCGAAAGCTCAGGACAGTGCTGAGTGGGCACAACTCGACCGTGAGGTTCCCACCTCCTGGCTGATGAAGTAGGAGGGATCATTGCGGTAGCAGAGGCTGCCCCTGGTCTCCTGCCTTTCCTGTGCAGAGCACCGTCCTGCTCACATGGGACCCTGCGCAGCTCGCCTCAGCACCTCCTCTGACTTGGCCGGACGCACAAGGCCCACCAGCAGCTGCCCCAGGCCACCTGTCATGCTGGGATCCCATCCTGCCCAGGGTCCCAACCTCGCTCACAGCAGCTAGCTCTCTCGCCTGCCACCTGCTCCACACTGTCACCCACCCCAAACTGGGTATCCTTGGTGGCAACTGACACCTGTTATTTTTTATTATGTAACTGTGGAGTGAATGAACGACGGATTCCAGAGGCTGAGCCAGAAAGGAGCTTGGAGATCCCCAGAACACCTGGAGGAGACCAAGGTCTGGAGCAGGAAGTGGCTCACAAGGTCACTGAGCAGTAGGGGCAGAACTGGTGCTCCTGGCTCCAGTCTAAGGTGCTCCCTCCTCACCAGGTTGCGGAAAGACCCCAGGGGCGGAGGTCCCTACTGCTTCAGACAGTACCTCCCCTACCCTTGGTGTCCCATCTGCTCCCCCAGCTGTGCTATCTCTCTCTGGACCAGAGACCCCAACTGTCCCTTTACTACCCCTGACATTTGCCCCTGGATTAGAAAATGGTTCAAGGAACAAATGGGTGAGGCTGAGGGACAGTTTTCCTGATCCTAAAAGCCTTCGCCTTCTGAGCTTGATGGGCCCCCGGCAAGGGAACAGGATATCCCTGGCGCCTGGATGGACAAGTACTTCTGGCCCCTAGGATGTGATGGGAGCCATGATTAGGTCATCTAGACTGGGCAGCAGGGGGCTGCTCCCTTGCCAGTCTGCAGGGAGTAGTCAGAGTGAGAGGGGCATGGGGCATTTTGTGGGAAGCTGGCCTGGCATTGGCCATGCAGATGACCACGCACGGCCCTCTATTTTCACCAGGGTGGGAGGAAAAGAGCCCACAGATATTACAAAGGAGAAGGTGCCCCAGTTTAGTAGGGGCAGGCAGTATAGCGGGTCCCTGGGGCAGACGAGCACAGCTCCACCCAGCAGAGCATCTGCTCTGTGCCTGGCCCAGCAGGGCCATGGAAGAAACAAGTCCCTGCCCCAGACTAGGGGACCGAGCCCCAGATGGTATTCAGTGTTGGGAAGGGAGGCCAGGGGGTCCCAACCCAGCTGCACCGAGCAGCCCCGGGTCCTCAGCACCATTGGCATTTCCTAGTCCTTCCCCATCTGCAAAGGGGGGCTTTGGCAGTGGTTCTGTCTCTTAATGGTCAGTGTCACCTGCAGGGTGGCAGATCTGGGTCCACTGGCTGGTGGTCAGGACAGACAGCCCCTGGTCCCCTGGTGAGAGTGCCACTTGGAGAAGCAGAGTATGACTCAGTGTCCCACCCCCGCCCCTTAACCATCTGTCTGCACCCTGACCTGGAGCAGCTGGGTCTTGCAGCCAGCATGCACCTGGCCTGCTCCCCAGGTGTGAAGTGGGCAGCTGCGAGAGGGTCCTGAGGAGCCCTGTTCTTTCAAGGTGCCCCTGTCACCAGGCAGGACAGGTGCAGGGCCCACTGGCCACAATGCCCTAAGCTGGAGCCAGAGCAGCCCCAGGGAAGCCCAGCAGGGCAGAGCAGGGGCTCACCACGTCCACCCACCGAGGGCCACGGGGCCTCTTAGCTCCTCTGCACCCTGTGGGGCTGCACAGCAGGGCCTAGAGCCTTCTCTGAGCTGAGACCCAGTGGTGTTGGCTCGAAGCCGTCCCTTCCCTCTTTCCTTCCATGGCAGCTGTGGGCGGGACTTTCCACCTGGCTAAGACCCACATTGGCCAATCAGAAGCTGACCTGACAACCGACCCCAATCATCAGGGTTCCCGCCAGCTGAAGCAATCGCCCTGTCACCTTACATCAGGCCTGACCCAACTGCGACAGACAATGTCCCTAAACCCGGCTGGGCCAACCTGCTGTCCCAGACCCCCACCCCCGGTTTCCCTTATTAGCACTATTCCTGCCTTTCCCACCCCGTCTTCTCCGCCCCCACCCCCTTGCAGATGGTGCACCTCGCCCAGGAGCACCCCTAGCAAACCTCCTTTGGGTGCCTCCTTCTTGTTCCCTGGCTCCTGACCTCCCGCCTTTTTGGCTTTACAAGCGCACCAGCGTACCCCAACCTCCCCTCCATCCCTCACCTAGGACTCGAGGGTGTGACCCACCTGGAGGTGTTGGCGAGGTGCCATCTTCTAGCACAGAGACCTGTGTCTGCTGATTCCCAGGTGGGTAGAGGGCACAAGGGGCCAGGAGGGAGGCTGCCAAGCCTCGTGGGCAGAGGCTCAGGAGCGCCCAGCATGGCAGCATCTGGCCTATGCTGAGTGACCGCACTGGCCCCAAGCCAGCTGTGGCTTCAGGGGTGCTGGAGCCTTGTCCTCAGGGGGTGGAGGAGGCCTGGGTACAGGGCCCAGCCTCCTCACCATGCAACCTGAGCCAGTGGCTCCATCTCTCGGGCCTCAGCTCCTGGTAGGGAACTGGCACCCGAGACTGCACATGTGGGCTTGGCACAGGCATCAGTGCCACGAGGGTTGGGTCCCACTGCAGGGCCTCTGCCAGCCTCTCCAGGGTTGCCATCCTCCACTTTCCTCCTGTGCCTGACAGGTGTGGGAGGCCTCTGGTCCACAGGTGGCTGGGGACTGTCTCTGCCTTGTCCTGGTGCCAGGCCACGGAGGGCAGGGAGTACTCTGATGAACTGCAGTGCCCCCACCCCACGCCGCCCCTTCACCCCAAGCCCTTGGGCTCGTCATCCATGTCATCCATGCAGCTCTGCACTGGGAGCAGCCAGGACACCAGCAAAGCCGAAGAGGACATGGTGGGGGCTGGACCACACACACCTGGACGGTCCCCTCACTTCTCAGGCAGGAAGATGTTGCGTCTCCAGCATGAGGAAACGCGTGACTTGTGCTTTGCTCTGTAACCAAGAGTGCCAAGGGCACCAAGGGCGCGGGTCACCAGTGGGTCCAGGCTGAGGCTCTCTGCCTCCCAGGAGCACCTGGCCTCTGCCTCAGGTCCACCCTGACCTGGCTCCACACCACCCCCTGGCATCGGGCCAGCAGCAGGGGCGGAGACATGGGGATATTGACAGCGACCATTGCTGTATTTATAGGGCTCCATGGAGACAAAAATAAAGCTAGGAGGAGCCTGCTGAGTCACTCTGCCCGGCCCTCCAGCGGGACGCAGAGCACGGGTAGGTGGGCAGGGCAGGGCGCAGACCCAGGATGGAGCTGGGCCCAGGACAGTGTGGGGACCACTGTGGAGGCCCAGGCCGTACCCTGCCACGAGTGAGCCCAGTGGCCACACTGTGGACCTCTGCTTCTCAGAGCCAGGCCCTTGAGGCCAAGGCCTGTGCCAGTGGCGTATGCAGTGAGGTCAGGGCTCAGAGTGACCAGAGTCAGGGCTCAGAGTGACCAGGGTCAGGGCTCAGTGTGACCAGGATCAGGGCTCAGTGTGACCAGGGTCAGGGCTCAGAGTGACCAGGATCAGGGCTCAGTGTGACCAGGGTCAGGGCTCAGAGTGACCAGGGGTAGGAAGGGCTCCTATGATCCTGAGACCCCAGATGGGGTCCGTCCTCAGGTCCTGCCCTGGGGATCTGCCTGGGTGAAGTGTCCCAGCCGGGTGTGCCTGGGGTGGCTCTCCTGCATACCTCGGGCTGTTGGGAGGACTCTGCCTCTGCCGAGGGGCTGGGCCCACCTGTGAGACTCTGCCCAGTGCCCCCCAGGGAGCCTGCTCACCTCCTGGTTACATCCTGTCCTCCACTTTGCCCTGAGCTCTGCTGCTGCCGGTCCATGCCACAGAGGACACGGCCCTCAGGTGGAGAGACAAGCAGGGCCTGCTCAGAGAGCTGCGAAGCTTGGGCCTGCTCCCAGCTGCCTCGGTGTAGGGAGGTGCCAGCCCCTCTGGACACGGCCTTTGGTAAAGGAGCTTCCCCCACCCCAGGGCAGCCCCGCCCAGGACTGGGTGGTGTCTGGAACCGCAGCCCCCAGTGGCTCTGGTCTGCAGGGTTGTCCCAGCTCCCTAGACTCCACCCAGTCAGTGGAGGTTTCTGGGGCCACAGGACCTCATTTGTGTCTCCCTTTGCCTGAGAGCTGTCCGATCAGTTTTCCCAATAAGCATTCATCAGGAAAATGTCCACCTCAGAATCTAAGGTTCTCCCAGCAGAACCGCTCCCTCCCATGGGGACCCCATTCTGTGTAACTTAGGGGGAGCTTTCCTGACGCTCCCTAGTCTGGTGAGGGTCCTAGACGTTTTATACCTTCTAATCTGGTGGGGCTACTGCCTCCATGGACTCAAGTTTTGAAGACAGGGGACACTAGCTTGTTTGCTGCCAGGTGGGCACTGAGAGCTGAGGGGTGGGTGAGATGGGACAAAGCAACATCACATGAGCTCCTGGATCGATCCAGACTTGACCCTGGTTGTTTCGGAGGTTTACCGGGGCCCCTTGCTCCTTCTGCTTGAACAGGCTCGAGTTGGGTCTTATTCTCCTCTGAATGGACCTCCCCACACTTGGCTCTGATGAGCTCTGTGCAGAGGGGCAGCTTGGGAAGCTAAGGGTTTCGAGGTACATGTGGGGCCCAACACTGTGCAGGGCCCCATTCACCCTGAGGAATCGGGGCATGAGCCATGTGTCCTGGGATGGCCTCAGCGCTCACAGCTCGCCCCCCAGCTTCAGGAAGCAATGCTTGGGCTCTCTGGTTTCTGCCAGCAGAGTGGGTCCCTGAGCTGGCAGGGCGTCGGGGCTGAACAGGGGGCATCCAGGGCATGGGTGGGGCAAAAAGAGCCTGGGGAAGGGCTGCCGTGGAGCACCAAGCCATCAGCTCCCGGGGACCAGCTCCTGTGCTGGTGGTGCCGGCGCTCCCCTAATGACACCCAAGCCTGACCCTGCCCTCGGCACTGTCCCTGCAGCCCTGTCTGTGTGCACCTGGCCCCAGGACCTGCTCCACCCCAAGGCTGTTGGGCCAGCGGGCAGTCACCACACCTCAGAGGGGCCTCATCGTGGGACCTTGGCTGCCAGGGACAGAGAGCTCGGGGTGTGACAACCTTCTTCCCTTGCCTGTGGCCAGGCCTCTGGCCCCTCCTCTTCCCTGGCCCACACCGTGCTGCTGGCCAACTCCTCTCTCTGCCTTGGGCCTCGCATGCCCTGTGCAGCTGTGCTGTGGAGCTGCAGTGGGCGCTGGGACACTGCGTGGAGTGTTCCGGAACAGGCCTTAATGACACAGCATGGCACCTCCTCTTACGATGGGGAGACTGGGGCTTCAGCAAGGAACGGGGCTGTGGCCAGCCACTGACCTGCAGACCTCTCCAGCTGAAACCCCTTGGGCTGCTGGAAGCCCAGGGCCTGGGTTCTCTAGGCCAGTCCTCTTTCAGCCTGCCGGAGTGTCACTGCAGGCATACAGTGGGGGACCTGAGGAAGGGCTGGTGTGGACAGCACAGATGCACAGCGATGCTGAGGTGTGGCCACACCTAGGAGGTGGGAACAGGGCCATCAGGCGGGAGAGGGGGACAGGCCATGCTGAACTGGGTCAAGGAGACCTGGAAGTCAATGGGTGAGAGGGCAGAGGGTGTGGGCAGGAGAGGCCATGGGACTCCAGGGGCACAAGGACGGAGACCTCTGAGACATGGGGGACATGTCACATGTGGGGGCCAAAGTCACCTTGCTGGCCCTGGGCCTGAGCTGAGGTGCTCAGGCAGGCAGCAGGGATGAGCTTGGTGTCCCCAAGGCCCCTGGCCCTGCCAGTGGGTGTCCCCACAGGGTGCTTTCCTAACCACATCACCAGGATGTCCCAGGTCTGGGTGGTCCTCTGAGTCTCCATCTGTGGGGTGGGTACCTCACAGCACACCAGCCATGGCATCCCGAGGGGACCCTCCTGGACTCCACCCTCACTGCCACCCTGGCTAAGGGTTTTCTGGGGGTGGAGCCTGGCAGAGACCGATCTGGCTACAGCGCTGGGCTTGCAGTGGGCTGGAGGCAAGAACAGGCTAGGCAGAGAGCAGAGCTGATCTCCAGCCCCGCCTGAGTGGTGGCCAGGGTGGGGGCCACCCTCAGACGGTGTCCATGGGCGGGCAGCAGGACACTCCTGCTGCTGGAGACGGGCTGGCAGGGGGTGGGCTCTGCCCCTTGGCTTTCTTCCATTTGGAGATGGTGGGTGCCCCTGGATTGTTGAGGCAGAGAGGAGGGGCGCTCTTGGTTGAATACTGGGGCTGCAGGTCCAGGTCGCCGAGGCCAGCACACTCCCCCTCCCTGCCCACTGAGCAAGGCTTTGAAGTGTGGGGAGAAGGGAGGGAGCAGGTGCTGAGGGCTGGGACAGCAGACAGAGAGTGTGGACTGGGAAAAGGGCTGGAAGGTGATGCGTGCCCCAGAGGTGTGTGCCCTCCACCTCTGGGGTCCTCAGGCCTGGGCTCAGGCCACCTGCAGCCTAGACATGGGCACTGGTCCTGGGAGAGAACCAGAAGGGACCCCAGCCGTAACCCTGGCCCAAAGAGCCAGAGAGAGGCTCCCAACACTGAGAGGAAGGGACAATTTCCTGTTTTCTTTTCTCTGGTGTGTCACACCCCAGCCCTTGGACAGTCTGCTGCTGTGGTGGTGGCAACAGGGCCCATTGCCCCTCAGAGGACCGAGGAAGAGGATGTTTCTCCTGCAAGGACAGGCCTGCGCTCTCAGGGAGTGGGCTGACCCTGAAGCCTTCCCCTCTTCATTTGGAGTTTCTTTGCTCCAATTGGTCCCAGATAAGGGGACAGTCTTGGCAAGGGCTCAGCAGAATGTCTTAATGAAGACCCCCTTCAGGCCCTGGGGAACACAAAGTGTCAGGGAGAACCAGAGAGGGAGCTTGGGAGGTGGTCCATAAAGCTGCTTTGGATTGCCCAAGATCAACCCCAAGCTGGCATGCATGGACCCTAAACCACATACTACCCACTTGGGGTATCATCCAGGGGGCAGACACTGCTTGAGTGCCAGAATGGCCACAGAGTGCTCACACACAGGAAAGATCTGCATGGCACCTAACAGCTTTGGCCTGACAGAGAACCACCCCAAAGACTGGTCAGAATGGTCAGCCACGACCTGACTGGGTCCATTAGTGCTAAAAACAAGAGGGTCTCCAACTCCCTAGGTCTAGACCAGATCCAGAACCATATAAATTAATACTCAAACTTTTTAGGATCTAATCCAAAATGACCTGGCATGTGAAGAACAGGAAAGGACAATTTGCGGTTTTCCCAGAACAAAACAGTAAAGGGAAGCCAACTGACCCGACACAGATGTTAGGATCCAAACAAAGACTTGGAAGAGGCTGTCATAAAAATGCCCTAACAAGTAACATCAAACACTCTTGAAATAAATGGAAGCACAGGAAGGCTCAGAAAGGGGAGATGGGGAGGGTCAGGGAAGAGTACCAGGTGGAAACGTGGCAACTGAGAAATACACAACAAAAATAAAAATACTTGTGGTACAAGACCAATTGCAGGATGGAGACAGGAGAAGGAACAAACTATTGAACATGAGTAGTGGTGGACAGAAAGTACCCAACATGAGCAACAGGAAGAAGGGTCAGAGAAGAAAACAGCTGCTGGCCCTGCGGGACCACATCCGGAGATCTCACCTTCAGAAGTCAGAGTCCCAGAAGGACAAGAAAAGAGTGTGATGGAGAAAAAAGATATTCTGTGTGATTGAAATTGTGGTTGAAACTTCTCAAATTTAGTAAAATAGATACACACAGAAATTCAAGAATGCCAGCAAATTCCAAGGAATTTAATCCAAAGAAATTCATTCTCAGACACATTGAAATCAAGCTGCCAAAAACTAGAGACAGCAGTGTTGGTCAAGGTGACACACACCTGTCCTCCCAGCTGCTTAGGAGACTGAGACAGGAGGACTGCTAGTTTGAGACCAGCCTCAGCAACTTAGTGAGGACTTGTCTTAAGACGAAAATAAAAAAAGACTGGAGGTACAGCTCCGTGCTAGAGGGCCCCTGCCTTCACCCCCAGTTCAGGGTGGGGGACACGGGACCTTGAAATCACAGAAAAATTCTGAATTATTTAAAAGGTAAAAATCCCAATGCCCAATGACTGTGTGTCATCAGAAGCCACAGGGCCAGACAGACACAGGGTGATGGCCCAATCTGACAGGTGAGGACCACAGGCCAGACTCATGCACCCAGTGGCAGCAGCCTCCAGGCAGAAGGACTCCCAGGCACTCTCAGGGGAACCTAGATCAAGACCCTCGGTGGCTTTGGGCCTTCCTATCATCATTTAGCAGTAAGAAGTTCAGGGAAAGGGCTGGGGTGCAGCTCCGTGGCAGAGGCTTGCTAGCATTGCGAGGCCCTGGGTTCTCTCCCCAGCACTGCAAAAAAAAGACCAGACAAACACCCTTCCCGGGAGGACATGTGGGTGGCAAGGGGAGAGATGCCCCACCCGAGTAGCTGGGATGATAGGCGTGGCCACCGCAACCGGTGGGCGGGTTCTTAGACTGTAGGACCAAGACGTCCCACTCCAGGCCATGACCCACGTGGAACAGAAGCATGCTCACACACCCCTGCACACAGGCCCTGGTAGTTCTGAAGACTGCCCACCATCCACACCCTGGCCAGTGATCGAGCACTTCGTGCCACAACCACACGGGAGCAGGACTCAGAGGCAGGCACAGAGCTGACCACCTGCACAGAGTGGTCAGTGGGCTCTGCTACATAGAAGCAGCCAGCCTCGGGAGGGGGCCTCTGCCGGTCCCTTTGCTGACACTTTAGACAGACCAGCTACAGCAGGACACGGTGTGTTCTCGGGAGAGGGGCAGGAAGGTGCTGCTGGGCTGGATAACAAGGGGTGGCTTTTTGTGGTGACAGTCTTCTGTACCCTGACTGTGCTGACAGTTACACATAAAACCACAGGCAGACTTATGGGACCC